GTAAAATGAGAGATACAGATTGTATAAGTATGCTGTGGTATAAAATGAACAGGATAGTTGTTGCATGGAAGGTATCTTCCATGGTTGTTGTAAAATACCCTCAATGCCCTGCGTTAAAAAGACGCGCCCTCTAGCGACGACAGCTTCCGTGACGTAATTCAGTGTAAGGAGGACTTTTCAAAATTCAATATACATGTATAGTAAAATACTATACTTATATCACGTTGTGAGTTACAACGTGTTGTAACTATTTCTGTAGTTGCACAGGATATCTGCATCCTACCATTTTATGAAATATGATTTTCAAAGATGGCAACTTTTTTTGAAAACGAAGTTCATAGAAAGAAAGTTCAAATAATTTTCATCATTTTACTCAGTTCTGGGCATCCTACGCCACATGGTTTGATCGGGAAGGTGTATAATAATAAGGTTATGATGCATAGCGTATGCACTCAGACAGCATAAGGCCGCATCGACCTCCGCTACACGCGTGTAAACTTTGCGACACCCTAGATCCTCCCAATAATAACAATAATTAATTCAACAGGAAATACCACTTGGGCATTGTTGTGGCTGTACAACAATAAAAGTTGAAACAAAATTGTTTGGTGGCGTTGCAATCATACAAAATCATCAGGCAAATCTAACTCAAAATGTTTGAATCTTGTTTTAAATTGAGTGAATAAATTATCTCGTTGAGCTTGATAATGAGATTACTACAAATGTCGCCCAACTACGTTATTTTGATGTCACGCGTCATTACCAGAGAGTTCGGTTTATAGGGATGGCGTATTCCACGTAACAAATGAAAAAGACTCTCTCAAAGTCTCTCATCTGAATACCTGATACTAGTAGTTTAGAATGTATAATGAACCTAAAATCAACTTAAAATGTCTAAACTAAGCTCTATTATACACAGAAAATGTTATATACTACCCTCAGACTAGTAATACAGTCTGAGTACTAACTAAGATCTAGTGCTGCGGTATGTATTACTCCCGGTATTACCATATATAACTACTACCGTATAACGTACATTAGTGGTAATGCGCTGACATATGATATATGGTAATTGTTAAAAAAAAACTACATTGCCATATAAGGAACATCAATAGAACTGTACTGGTATATATGGTAATTTATATAACATTGTCGCCATATTAGGTGTTACATTTACATTGTTTATACAACGTTTTTCTGTGCAATATATTAACCGAATCGTATAACCGTTGACAGTGCAGCAAAACCAATGATGAATGCACTACGGCAATATCTGCGGGAACTGGCCACATTTACATTCTCAAATTTATTGGTGGTAAACAGTTAAGTTTCTTTATATATTAATAATGAGCATGGAGGTGAAAAAATGAGAAAGTAATTAGTCTATTATAGTTCCGGGCGGAGTTAGATGGGTATGCGATGGTAAAACTTTCGTTGGGGATACATACACATATATATATCCCACAATGCAATGCAGTATTTACGTCATTGTAACCGTGCCCCTCCTAACCAAACATTCCGTAGACTGCTACTGAACGTTCGTTAATAGAACTTGTGAGTATATTATTATGGTGAGCTTCTCACTGACAAAATGGTGACGATATATTATTTTTTAACAAATTTAACATTGTTCCTGATATCTTTTCAGCAGAACAGCATTTTATCAAACTATTAAAAAGTAAACATCAGGAAACCATTATTGAACTTGGTCGACTTGTCTACAGTTGTTTTCAAATGAGAGAAAAAAGTTTCAATAAATAAATGTACCAGCTGTCTCATATCAGAACCATCAAAAAATAAATAAATAAATAAACAAATAAATAAATAAATAAATAAATAACATTTTATTTTAATATTACCATCTATGCAATGTACTTATTTTACTTTTGTATCAACTGAATTTTCTGTTTTTACTTTTTTTATTATTATGATTTTATTTTTATTGTAATTTTATCTATATCTCAACAGAGATTCGATAACAATAAAGTTATTATTATTATTATTATTATTATTATTATTATTATTATTATTATTATTATTATTATTATTATTATTATTATTATTATTATTATTATTATTATTATCGCCTCTTTTCGGTGAGAATTCAGTAGTAGGAAATGCCAACTGATTACGTTCTCGCAAACAGCAGTGGTATTCAAGTTAGAGGCAAATCAGAATCACCTGGGACTGGAAACCACAATAATTAGATCAACACAATTATTATTTTGTTCAAGAATTTTTATCGCTGCAAACACCAAACACACGTGTGTTTTTTAGTGTTTGTAACGGTGACAAATCGGGAAAATATCAATAATGCATAGTTTTGATCTAA